TCGCAACCTCGATTCATTGCCTACCAGCACATGTTGGATGTGTCGTTGGTTCAGGGGCTGCACGAGCAGTCAGCAGCATGAATGAATACCACAGTTTGGCAATGGTTTAATCACACGGGCAAAGCAGCACCGCCGTGCTGGGTACGTAGTCCTTCATCGCTCATGGACAAGATCTGACCTGATTTCTCCTCGAGCCTCACCGGATGGAGAAAATGTACGAAGTGCAGCGGCTACGGATCAACTCCACACGTGTGTGACGAGGAAAACCCAGCGTCAATTCGGAGGCTTTGGTAGCTGGAAGGGAAATTCGCCCACGAAGGCAAGACAGATATAACAACAGTGGGACAGACAAATCGCAGATGGAATCGAACCCTGTCCTCCTGTATGGCACTTCACACAACTGAGCGGCTGGTTGAAGTGTTGATTGGCCCCTCCGGTGGTTGGGCGACAGCTCCTCGGGCCAATCGGGCAGTGCCTCCACCCTCCCGGGCTCTTCGAGATGTCCACCCGGGCGCTTAGAGACCGGTGACGGCACACCTTCTCGGAACCTCATTGGGTCGTGGGATGGTCTGCATGCGATGCCATGGATCATGCCACAGCTTTGGTGAGCGGTTGTGACCAGCAAAGAGGTGCTAGAATGCCTCTCAGCGCTTCCCCTCTCCGCTCGGCCACATCATGGCCCTTAAACGCCAGGGCCGCCCCCAATCCTGCAACCTTTTCTTCCCCTTGGCCCTGAGAGTCTCTTTTCTGTCTTCGTTCTTCATTCCAGACGAACTGCGAGAGCCAAGGAAAAAAAAAAAGAGAGCTGCCGCTCCCTAACTGGCAACCTGACCAAAACTGCGGCCTTGACCGACAACACCGCGACAAGCTCCCCATCGATAGCTGGAAGATCCTATGTGAATGCTGATCCATAGCTGCTCACCAGCAGTCAGCAACTGAACAACTACCAAAGTCTCACAAGTGGGAAATTCTTGCCACGACGACGCTTTGATAGCGACGGTGACAAGAGTACGAACTGAGATTCACCTCTGAGAGGTACGAATAATACCAGAGAGACCGAAACGACTGCGCTCCTCCGAACATCAACACCCACCTCAACACACGACATCGCCAATATGCCCTTCTCAGCCTTCCAACGCAAGCCGAGCCGCAAAGGCCCGCAGACCTACCGCCTCGTCTGGCGCAAATGGCCCAAAGTATCCAGGCGGGCAACTTGGTGGCTCATGCTCTTCGAGCTCGCCGGCACCGTGTCTGCCCTCGTTATCTTTGCAATCTCCCAGCCCAACCTCTGGCGAAGCGAGTTGTGGCAGATCGGCTGGGACCACCGCCTCAATTCCAACCCGGCCATCATTCTTTACGCATACGCCAACCACAGACCTCTGCCTCATATTGCTCTGGTTTGGACCAGGACGTGAGTTATCCCATTTCCTGCTTTGCCGTGGATGAGCTGACTTTAACTAACACCGCTCCAGCTTTACTGATTTCAATGTTGCCATCTCTGTCCTCTCCCTCTTCATGCTGATGAGCAAACTTACCGCCTATATTATGAAAGTCTGGTTCCCGGTCCTGGCCACCTTTGTCAACGTCGGCATGTCCTGCGTCTACATTGTCAGCGTTTACGGTCTCATCGGCCCTGATATGGTGGACGAGCGATATCCTGCGCGCGTTGCCTGGTGGTGGCGCAAAGGCTGCGACATCGCTAAGCCGTATGGTAGTTACCAGCACTGCAAGATTGCCCAAGGCTCTCTCTTCGTCTCTCTGTACATGATGTGAGCATTTGATTTTGCCTCTTGCGCGCGCCAGAAGCTGACCACGGAATAGGATCGTCTATCTTCTTAACCTTGGCTTTGCCGCGTATTGCATGTGGCCTAACAAGATCAACGATGAAATCGACGAGGACGATGACGACGAGAGCGAGACTCACTCGGAGCCCAAAGACAACCAGAGATGGGAGATGCAGAACATGAAGTCCCCCATGAGCTTCCGTCAAGCTCCCTATACGCCTCGAACGCAAGCCTTCCAGACCTTGGATCGCCAGCTACCGCTGCGATCTCAACAAACGAGGTTCGGCTAAGGGCTGAAGAAGGAAGATGAAGCGACGAAGCAACGAAGCATTTAAAACGAAGGTGTATTTTAGGATTGACACATGTTTCCTCACCGTGTGATGGAGGGTTTCCTTGAGTAGTATTTGGGATGGAGTTTCGGATCTTTTGCACTCAATACCATTGGATGGTTGTGAGCCCGGACTCAACTGGGACAACAACTTGGACTGTACATTTTCTTCTTTTTCATTTCTTCTCACTCAGCCCACCTCTTGTCCTCTGTGTCAAAGACGACGGTGAGAGTGCTAGACACTCTTATCATGACCGGCGAAGAAGCCGATGCGCCCTAGTTTTGCCGACACTGGTAACTACCTAGATGATGCGAATAAAATAATGGGATGAAAACAATCCAGATATGATGATGAATCTTTTTATCGCGAACAGTCTCCTTCTATTGCCCCGATTCAGCAAAGACCAAACCCCACCTCGGCCCTCCGCGTTAAATGGCCGGACCGGCACGCCTCAAACCGGCACCGGATTGCTTGAGACCCCACCAGAGCTTCCCCCATAAGACGTCACCCCGCCATCATCCAAACACGGAAACCTTCCCTTGATAACTACGGCGTTATTGGTGTCTGTTCATACCCAATTCTTTGTATGCTACGACCGCCATGACGCTCATTCAACGCTTCATTGCTCCGTCGAGCAGGGGAGCTCTGCGACACGGTCATGGCCTCGCTCTGGTTCTCGCCCGTCGAGCTTCCAACTTGGCGCCTCCCAAGGTCAGTCAGTCGTTGCAGTAATCTGTGATATTGAGTTAATGTAACTATGCCTCCCAGCTTAAAGACCCATCGCTGTTGAAGAACAACGTCTGTTATGTCAATGGCCAATGGGTCGCAGCCAAGTCGGGCAAGTCGTTCAAGGTCAATGGTGAGTGAGCTGCAATATGAGCCTCGTCCACACGCTTTCTCACACTCACCATAAGACCCTTCTACCGGCGCGCTTATCGGTTCTAGTCCTGAATTCGACACCAGCGACGCCGAATCTGCCATCGCCGCCGCCGCCGATGCGTTCCCTGCCTTCCGTGCCAAGACTGGCCGAGAGCGCTCCAAGCTACTGCGTGCTTGGTACGACCTTATGATTGCCAATTCTGAAGATCTGGCTACTCTTATTACCTGGGAGAATGGAAAACCTCTTGCGGATGCCAAGGGAGAAACAGCTTATGCTGCCAATTTCTTGGAGTGGTTCAGCGAGGAGGCCCCGCGAGTCTACGGCAATACTATTCCCAGCTCTGTGCCTGGCAACAGAGTTTGGACCCTCAAGGAGCCTGTTGGTGTTTGTGGATTAATCACTCCGTGAGTTGAAGCTTCTTCTCAAATTCTCCCTGCCAACGGGGGCTGACTATTATTCTAGCTGGAACTTTCCTGCCGCCATGATTACGAGAAAGATTGGCCCTGCTCTGGCAGCCGGCTGCACAGTGGTTTGCAAAGCGCCCAGCGAGACCCCCTTTACCTCCTTGGCTTTGGCTGAGCTGGCTCACCGCGCTGGCATTCCCAAAGGCGTTGTCAATATTGTCACGGCCAATGATAATACTCCCGAGATCGGAGAGCTGCTTACCTCGTCGCCTACGATTAAGAAGATTTCCTTTACCGGCTCCACTGGCGTTGGCAAGCTGCTCATGAAGCAGTCCGCTGGAACTCTCAAGAAGCTCTCTATGGAGCTCGGTGGCAACGCCCCCTTTATTGTTTTCGACGATGCCGACGTCGATGCCGCTGTTGCTGGCGCCGTCGCTTCCAAGTTCCGCTCCTCGGGCCAGACCTGTGTCTGCGCGAACCGCATCTACGTCCAGAAGGGTGTCTACGACGAGTTTGTTCAGAAGCTCACCGACAAGGTAAAGGAGTTCCAGGTTGGAAACGGATTCGAGCAGGGTATCACCCATGGACCCCTTATCCACGGCCGAGCCGTCTCTAAGGCCGAGGCTCATGTTCAAGATGCTGAAAGAAAGGGCGGAACAGTAACCATCGGCGGCCAACGGATTAATGATCTTGGCCCCAACTACTTCGCGCCTACCGTCATCCGTGATATGACCCCCGAGATGGACATGGCTTCCCAAGAGACGTTTGGCCCCGTCGCCGGCTTGTTCCCCTTTGAGACTGAGGAGGAGGTTGTCAAGATGGCCAACAACACCAACGTGGGTCTTGCCGGTTACTTCTTTTCCAGGGATTTGGAGCGTGTGTACCGCATCTCCGAGAGCCTCGAGGTCGGCATGGTTGGTGTGAACACGGGCCTGATCTCGGATCCCGCGTCACCATTCGGAGGTGTTAAGGAGAGCGGATTCGGTCGCGAGGGGTCGTTAGACGGTATTGCCGAGTACCAGGTCACCAAGATGGTGACCTCTGGCGGAATGGGCAAGCCTCTGCAGGCCTGAGCGGGGGCCGAGGCAGAATACCAGGATAAGATACTATAATTAAAGCAATAATGATGAGCATGTACTTGCTTGGGTTTTGTTTGATTGGCATCCGAGGTTATCGTACTTGCTGCCACCAAGGGGAGAACACTTCTCTTGTTAATCTTTACTCAACTCTGGGTGGAATGGAAGCATCTATGCTTGGCACTCCAGGCTTGTATCAAGAGGCAACTACCCTTTCAGCTAGTATAAAGTACATCTCTATGTCAAAATGAAATAAACATGATATGAGTTCCTTGCCATCCAGTAGACCTGTTCAAGGAGAACATTCAAACAGTCAGGCGTTGGCATCCTTGGGAAGTCGTGTCATCCACAGGGGAATTCGACCAGAAGACCTCGACCAGAACGGTAATATCACATTAAAGGTCTGCAATTCGAACACCACCTATTTCTCCTGACCCGTCTTCAATGTTTGTCTCTCTCGAAATTGTCAATTACACGTTTGGGGAGCCGTACATGATCTCTGTATCAGTCGCATCTTCACAAGATCAGGTCGCGTGGCCTAGTGGTTTATGGCGTTTGTCTTACAACAGTAACACAAAAGGTCGCAAGTTCGATCCTTGCCGCGATCAATCTTTCATTTTTGCCCTTTCTCAATAATGATAATTCGTTTCATTGTTGTAGGGTGTTTATTTTTTTCTGTTTTGACGTAAACTTGGAGGATACGCCCTCGATGAGGAAGTAGCCCAGACCTGATGATACATTTGGGAGTGCTCGATGAAGGATCGAACGAGAAACGGGAACTCATGCAATGAACCAGTGGCCTAATCGAGGGCTCGTTTCATCCCGTCTATTACTGTCCTACGAATCTCAACACACCTACCTAGGAATAAGCAATCAAACCTACAACTAGACCATGTCATTGAACCGTCCATAAGTTAATGATTCAGAATCAATATTCATTGCATCCTTTAGAGCTCCAGGGTCGATGCTTTACCGACACGGCAAGCGACGGGAGCTATAACCCCACAACCCATCGGCCGGCGGTACGTACCTTTTGGACTGAAACTGAGGTGAACTGACGTCGAAACCTCGGATGCAAGGATTTCGGGCTGTGACAAGCCTTAACCTCACCACTCGCAATTGCAATCATGGCGTTTTCACGAGCCAATGCGCCAACCAGGCAATGCCTGCGTCTTCTCTCGTCCGAAGGGTATGTTGAATTCGCGCAAACGCTTCCCAACCTTGTTACCAGAACCTGTTCTCTTGGGCGTCTTAACTGACAGCCTTCCTTTACAGACCAGCTCTGAAGAGCGTCCCTCGCCGGCAGTTTGCGCCTGCGGCTCTCGCCTGCGACTCCTCTCCTCGCTTCTTCACCTCCTCCGCCTGCCTCCTCAAGAAGCGCAAGATCGCCGTGCCCACCAACAGCCCCAAACACAAAGACGCCGCCGCAAGCTCTGCCGCCTCATCCTTCGCCCACGATGACTTCCCCTCCTCCCCGTCAAAGGGCCCCCAGCCCGACCCCGAAGACCCTCTGAACTTCGACTCCGTCCTCGCCGCCTACACCCCCGTAGACGCCCACTTCAAGGCCCAGCTCGCCGCCATGGCCCACGGCGGCCGCTTCAACCCGACCAACCTGGGCGCCCTCCCCGTCTCCGTCAAAGAGCACGGCGCCGAAGCCGCTGCCGTCTTCCCGCTGCGCGAGCTCGCCCAGGTTGTGCCGCGCTCCGGCCGCACCATCTCGCTGCTCGTCCATGACAAGGAGTACATCAAGCCCATCATGAGCGCCGTGCAGGCCAGCAAGGAGTTCAACCAGCAACCGCAGCGGTCCGACGACAACGACCTCGAGCTACTCCTCAAGGTCGAGCTCGAGCGCAAGGACGACGTCGCTCGCCGCGTCAAGGAGAACATGCAGGCCTACCGCGAGCGCATCCGCCAGGTCCGGTCGCGACACGAAAAGGCGCTGAAGGAGTGGAAGAAGAACGGCACTGTGCTGCCCGACGTGGTGAAGCGGGCTGAGAAGGAGCTGCAAAAGGTGCAGGACAAGAAGATGAAGGAGATTGATCAAGAGGAGGCTCAGATTATTCGCCAGCTGTAATCACTTGTCGTTGAAGATTTAAAGTAGCTACATGATATCATAAGGCCGTTGGCAAAGGTCATAGAGGTGGAAGGTGTGTTTGTGTGTCGGAACTGCAAGAGTAAAAGGTGGATGGCAGCAATGTACAGTATATTACACGTCGTGACGAAAAGTTGTACACAGATCTTCCTCTCTAGATCCATCATCCCTCCCACTTAAGCCTTTGCATGCTTCTTTCCACCTCTGGGAGCGTTCTTTGACAGAAGCGAAGTGAGTTTTTTCTCAAAAGAGTTCACGTCCTTGGTTGTATACGTCTCAGCACGCAGGTGCCACGAACGAGACACGCCAACGGGGTCCAGTGCAAACTTGGGCGTCTCATGTTGACCGTTGATGGCCTTTTCGAGAATGACTTTGCGAACGGCGTCCTCGGAGTCGGTGATGATGGGCTTGGTTTCAGTATTGGCCGCACCCTCACCCTCGGCCTTAACTTCAGCATTGGCCTCACCCTCACCCTCACCCTTGCCCTCGGCTTCAATAACCTCAGGCTTGTTCTTGTTCTGGAGGTACTCCTCAGCCGCAGCCTTGCTCTGCGTGTCAGCAAAGAAGCGCATGCCACTTTGCTCGATCTCGGTGACGTAATGGCGGGTCTGGAAAGCCTGAGCAGTGCCGACATGGTCAGCGGTTCCGAGGACGCTGAGGTTCTGCAGGACGGTAGCAGCCTTGCCGGTCGAGCTGGTGGGCACCACGGGAGCAAAGTCGGCGAGGGTGTCGACTGTCAGCGTCGGGCTGTACGTTGTGGTGGTGCCGAAGCGGACGCTGTCGTCAAAGGCCTGCTCTTCGGGGTCCAGCTTCGCGAATTCGTCGCCGCGGAACTTGCGGTCCTTGCTCTCCTCGTCATCGTCCTTGCGTCGTCCTGTGAACTTTTTGGCGCCGCGCCCACGACCGCCTCGATTGCCAAAGCCGCCACGGCCTCTGAAGCCACCACGGCCACCACCTCGTGAGATAGAGAAGCGAGAAGGGCCGGAAGAGCTGCCGGGGCCGCCTCGAGGCGTGTAACCACCACGAGGAGTAAAACCACCACGAGGGCCGCCACGGGGAGTGAAACCACCTCGGGCACCCCCACGGGCATTGCCACTGCCACTAAAGGACAGTCTCGGAAGGCTCTTCACATCGAGAACCTTTGGTCCACCAGAAGGGCCAGATGGGGCATTTCCTCCACGCATTGGGCTTCGAGAACGGGCGAGGGAGTTGATCTCGCTGGTGGCAGCGCGGGATCGCTCGCGGAGTGAGGGCGTCGAGTTGCCTGTGGGGCCATTGTTGTCGGCGGCTTGCAGTTGAGTCGTCGAGAATTGGCGGATGCAGGTTTGAAGAGCATCCGAAACATGCTCGATCTCGGGCCTCGTCCGGCTACATACCGAACGAAAGGCGTGGCGATGCATTGTTGCTCGATCTGTGAGGGTTGATGGATGGTCTGGAGCGGAAGGCTAGCAATGCCCAAATTTCTCTCCCAGGGATGTATTGATGACTAAGCCAGCGGGGTGTCTCCTTCGTCAATCTATTCACAGCTTCCATTGAGCTCAACCTCACTCCACTCGCACAGGTCGTCTTGAGCAACATACATGTGCACAACCACAAACAAGACAATCATTAATAGTTCTACAAGCAAGAACACCTCCGTTTATCGTATTGAGCCGAATGGCTACTTATGTCCCCGAGACCAACACAATGCAAGACCCGCCTGTTGCCGGTATAAAACTAACTCGGCCTAGAACACCGCCAGGCCAACAAGATGTCGACTGCTGCTCTGCAGCCTCATATGTGATATCTGGACACTGCGAGAATAAACGCACATCGAGGTCATCTAGATTCCACACGATGGATTCTGGGGCCACGTGGTGGCGACCTGAATCTCGTGTGTCGAGCCGACCATTTCTGGTTGCCTGATCAGACAGCTACGTCTGTCCGCTCGAGCTGATTAGAGGCCGATATAAGCCACTCCAACACGGTTGTCACCCCGTGGGCACGATGAAATGATGTGCAGAATAACTGTGCTGTCCCTTGAATCCTCCTCGTTCAATCCATTTCCCCAAAAAGGACCTCAGGTATTGTCCAGTTGTGTTGCTCCAAACCATAGCGTCCGACTTTTCCCGGGTTGCCCTCGGATTGACGGCCGCCTCTCATATGCAATAAAGTGCTCCTGGCGAGGGAGTCGAGAAAAGGATCCTTTGTTCGTGTCTTGGCTGCATGACGACCCACCATCCTTTATACACTCTGAGGCTGAACCATGGCAGGCTGGGAGGGGTTAGTCGTGTACATTTGCCCAAGTTGGAGTGCGTTACTTACGGGGCTGTTCAGCATATGTTGTCGCTTATTGCGACTCTTCTTAATATGGCTCTTGAGAGCGCTGGAATCGAGGGGCTTGAGAAGCTCGAAGCTGCACAATAGCTCTGCCGAAACGGACATTACGGCACCCCAGTTATCAAATTCGCCGCAGTACTGTAGATGTTAGTAGAGATGGCGTCTGGGGATGGCAGGGAACTTACATTAGGGGCGCTAAAGACGGTGACCAATACTCTGTCGTTGAAGAATTCGTACCCGTCCTCGACAACCATGTGCGCCCGGCAAATGAGATCAAAATCGTGTACCGCCAAAAAGTCGGTAATGACCCGTTTTCCGAAGCAATAGCTGACTCCTCGCTCATTGGCTTCCCAATCCTGTTCCATGTCGGCTGGATCTGACCAGAGGAGGTCGTTGAGTAGACCATAATCGGGCACATCGGTTGGCCGCGCAATGTTTCGGATGTCGTCCATGTGACTCAACGCTGGGGAGAGACCTCCGTGAACGCAGAAAATCTTTCCAGCCACAATAGCGGCAATTGGTAGCGTATTGAAGCAATCCACAAACGTCTTCCAGATCTTGACGTTGCACCTTCGCTTGCACTCGTCGTAAAAGCCATACACTCGCGTTACATTGGCACACTCGTGATTGCCACGGAGAAGGAAGAAGTTTTCGGGGAACTTGAGCTTGTAACAGAGAAGGAGGAGGATCGTCTCGAGCGACTGCTTTCCTCGATCAACATAATCGCCTAGAAAGAGGTAGTTGGCCGAAGGTGGGAAGCCACACATCTCAAACATTCGAATCAAATCCGTGTACTGGCCGTGAACATCGCCTACAATTTTGACTGGCGCATCCAACTCCAGGAGAGCGGGCTGGGACAAAAGCACCTCCCTCGCACGTTGGCAAATGGCGGTAATTTCGGCATTCTTGAGACAGACACTCTTTGTCACCTTTCCGGCGTACCCTGCGTCGAGTAGCCGCTTGATAAAGTCGTCAAGGTCGATATCCTTGATGTCAGACATGGCAATATTGGAATTGGGTTCCCCTTTGGAGTCCGCAGAGGCTGATAGTTTATGAACCGGGTTAATCGTTTCATCTCGCTTGACCAAGATGGATTGTCCAGGAGCTTGCATGTGAGTATTGACACTTGCGTTTGCAGAAGGAGGTTGGTCAGAGACATGGTCAACTTCGCCTGAGGCCTGGGCAGCGCTTAGATCG